TTTGCAGAGCAAGACTTCGAGGGCGAAGTCTGATTCTAGTGGGGGAGAATTGTAACATCCGGATTTCCAGGTATTATGTTTGATCATTTATTCTTTTGAGAAAAAGGGAGGGACTCGACGAGTTGAGGCGTAGACTCGTCGAGTAGGAGCGCGTGTGCTGACTGGATTAATGAACGGACTCGACGAGTCGGAAAGGGTGGACTCGACGAATCCGCGCTGTAATCGGAAACCCTAATTCTCGGGGTTTGTGCCCTATTTAAAGGCCTTTATGGCCTCCATTTGCGGCCACTTCATCCCAGAGAAACCCTAGAGAGAGCAATAGGAGAGTTTGAGAGCAAGAAGAGGTTAATACATCACTTTTGGTGTAGTTTTGTTAGAAGGAAGAAGGAAACACCAATCTAGAGCGTGAAGGGGGCTTGGATATGGGCTAATCATCTTGAGATTTCATCTCTGGAGGTATAATCCTTTCTATTTCATGTTGATATGATGGATTTCATGATTTTAGGGTTTTTACCCCCATTATATGTAAGATCTAGTGAGTAGGAGGTCTCCTTTGTGTTAATAGCATCAGATCTGGACCATGAGAGGTCCATAGAGTCACTATCCCTCAGCTTTATGCAGGCAAATGAGAGATTGGAGACTAGGTTGCCATTTTTAGAGTTATTTCTCCATTTGTGACTTGATGTGGGTTGCATGCACGTAAAGGTTGCACCTTTACGTGACATTTGAGCACTTGAAGGGTAGATCTGATAATTAGGGAAGCAGATCTGGCCTTAGAAGGTCATTTGAGTAAGAACATGGAAGCAACTCGCCGAGTCCATAAGTGGACTCGACGAGTCGAGTCGGGGTGGCCCCGCGATTCGTGACAGGAGAAACCCGTCGAGTGGAAGGATGACTCGACGAGCCAAGAGAGGCTAGAAAGATTCAGAGGCCCCGCATGGACTCGCCGAGTCGCCCATGTGCACTCGACGAGGCGGGTCAAAGTTTGACCGTTGACTTTCGTTGACTTTAGGGTTCTGGTCAAGACTGATTCAAGAGAGTTCAGAGAGGGGTAGAATGGCCTTCTACCCAATCTTTAGAGATGAGACTATGAGAGAATATTGATCGGGGATGTTAATTGAATAATAGGAGGAGGCTAGGTCGGGACGTTGAGCACGAGAGTTTATCCGACTTCATCGAGGTGAGTCTTCTCACTATACTGTACCTGGAAGGGTACCTATGTGTGACCGGAAGGTCTTATATGCTATGAGATGTATGAGTTGCATGTTGTTATGTGATATGTATGTGATATGTATGTGTTATGTATGATAAGGACCAGAAGGTCAAGATGATATGGACCGGAAGGTCAAAAGGTTACGGACCGGAAGGTCGATACGGGTAGGACCGGAAGGTCTACCGGGATTCGGGACGGAAGTCCCCTCAGACACATGGATCGGAAGATCCTACAGAGTTATGGCCTGGAAAGGCGTATGTGTTGTATGTGGTAATTTTGGGAACTCACTAAGCATTTATGCTTACAGTTGTTGTGTTATGTGTTTCAGGTACTAGCGAGGATCGCGGGAAGGCGCCGGCATGATCCGTACACACTCATGAAGTTTATGTCTTGAGATTCTGGGATATGTTTTGTTATGAAACATTGGATACATTATGTTTTGATAGTACCTTATGAATAAAAGTATGTTTTAAAAATGAAAAATTGATTTGGAAATTTACGTTGTTACAAGAGGGGATAATTTCTGAAAATTTTCCCCAGAAAAAGTCACCAGTGGCGGCATACCGTGGCCAACAGTGGTTGTCGACCATGACAACGGCTGTCGACAGAGGGGAAGTTGGTCGGACATACACTAAATAGAAACCACATCATCATCAAGATCTGGTTCTTCCTCCTGAATTCAATCAAACAAAAGCTTCATGTAGGTGGTCGACATACACATTCAACATCTTATTTTCATTAAGATCTTCAAGAAACTCATTAAAATCACATTCATTCTATCATTCTATATGGCATGCAACCCCTCAATCAAACTTACTTTAGACACACAATAACTTCAGACACACAGTAATACACATCTTTGCAAAAAACAGTTGGTAAGTTTTCAAGAAAGATGATGAAATCAGAGAAGTTCATCTTGTTTACACCAATGTCTCGTAGATGCTCTAATTGGATCAAAATACACCAATGGGGTAGGTGCGAACGTGCCATTGTAGTGTGCATCCAAGATTGAAATTGCCTCTTATGCAATGATTGATAACGATTCAGGAAGATTGGGAGTAATGATGGTGGAGTAGTGTAACACTTTTTTTTGAAAGAGCTGGAGTAGTGTAACACTTGATTCCTGGTAAGTTTCTCTTTTTGCCCTAGTTGAAATTTTGTTGCATTTTGGTCCTCATGCTGTACGCGGGGCGCACCACATGGTACGCTTGGCGTACAAGCTACAAAGCGAGTACGCGGGGGCGTACCACATGGTACTCTTAGCGTACTCGTGTGATGGTGAGTCGTGGTTTCGGACATGTACGTGGGGCGTACAGCCATGTACGCGGGGCGTACGTATGTTTGATGAAACCCTAAATTTCGAGAATGGACACTATATAATCATCCTTATGGCTTTTGAAACCCTAATTTCTCAGTCTCCTCATACCTTTTAGCCCCATATTCAAAATATTAAGCCTCTCCTTGGTATTTTGAGCTCATTGTGTCTATTTTTGTGTGTTTTTACTCCATATTCAAGAAGTAAAAGCTTGGTGCAAGGTGGTGGATCAAGGAAGAGCTTGTGGGTCTCGACCTTTTGCTTCATTTCCAACTTATTTGAGGTATAAAGCTGTGAACTTGATCTATGGTGTCTTAGATCTATTATGTATGAGTTTTTGTCCCTTTTGGCCCATGAATGGGATCTAGTGGTGTGATGTCACTCCAAGAGCTTTGAGTTGCCACTCTTGGTGTTTCCGAGGTTCTAGATGCATAAAGTTGTCACCTTTAAAGTTTAGATCCATCCATGCATGAGTTATGACCATTTTAATGGAAGTAGAATGTTATATTTCGAAGTTGGGTCCTTTTGGGGCATGCAAAGTCACAAAGTCAGTGACTTTATGGTTCTAGATGTTGATTATGACTTAGATTTGTGATTTTAGCTTTTGGTCTTAAGCATTAAGTGATTATTATGGATATGGACTTATTAGGTGAGTACGATGGGCTACAAGTTTGTACGCACGACGTACAATCCGTTTAGCCTGTACGCTTAGCGTACAGTTGAGTACGCCCTGCGTACTCAGTCTGTTGGGCTTCGTAGTTTTTGGGCCTCGGTTGGGTCATTTCTTTGGGCCTTGTTACGTTGGGCCTTAATGGGCCATCTGAAATCAAGCTTTGGGCTAAGAGTTTGGACTAGGGAAAATTATTGGGCCTTAGGGTAAGGTCCACATAGGGTTTGGCTCAAATTTGGAAAATTGGGCCATAAGTGGGCCTTGGAGAAGCAATTGGTTTTGGGCCTTTTTGGTTTGTGGGTTTGGGCCCCAATCTTGGTTCAAACTAGGTCAGGGGTAAAATGGTCATTTTACCCCAAGTATGGATTATTGGATATAGATTGGAACCCAAGTGTTAATTGGGTGCTATTTTGTATTGATAGTTCGGGGATTCGTCAGGACAACAACTAGGGATTTCAATGAGATTCAGCATTCGAGGTGAGTTTCCTGACTGGGTTTAGCGGGTCTAAGACACCAATATCGGCCCTTGTTATTTATGTTAGGATGCCAGAAGTCTGCATGACCCTTGCATGTATTATGTGCTGCTATGTATACCGGGTGGGGCTCGATGTCGGTCGAGGCCTGATGACTGAAACATATGCCATTGTTATGATCATTATATGTATTATCATGATTATGTGATATATATTGTACGTGTATAGTGGGCGAGGCCCGATGACAGGCGAGGTCTAGGAATGACATATCTATATACCGAGCAGGGCTCGATGCCGGGTGGGGCCCGATGTAGGGCGGGGGACCAATATGTGATCTATTATGTTTGGTATGGGGTAGTTTGGGGACTCACAAAGCTTTGTGCTTACAGTTTTCAGTTTATGTTTCAGGTACTTCTGGTTCCAAAGGGAAGAGCTCTGGATGACTGCATCACACACACCATATGGATTCCGCTTTTGAGATATTACTCTGATTGATATGATCTTTGATACACTTATTTTCTTTTGGGTTGTATGGATAATGTTTTGGAATACTATTTTATTAAATTAAAAATAAAATTTTTGGGTCATATTTTTAGGACGTTGCAAATAGTGTGGTGTAAGGGAGGATGGAGGCTCACTAAATGAACCCTAATGTTCGTTATCCTCTTATTTTGGGGTGTAATAGATGGTTTATTCACGTAAACTGCTATGTGGACACCACATGTGCAATATATTTCACCAAAATAAACATAAATTTATATATAACCGTCTAAACCGGGTGTAGCCGGTCAAAAGGGCTATATGAGTACAAAAAACAAGTATAAAGACATATTTAACATAAAAAAAAACATTAAAGATTAAACATGTACATTTTTTGAATTATCTTACCCTTTGAAATCATTTTCTCTTGATGAAATTATAAGTACAATGATATTTTATATTCTCCTAAAAACACTTTAAAAAACGTTTACCAAACTCTTTCCGATTTAATTTTTTTCTAGCAAATTCAAATATGAAGTATAACTTCAATAAAAATAATAATATTTTACTGAATGAGCCAAATTAAGGACCCAATTTAACATTTATTCGACTTTTACCCACTTTACAACGGCTGCTTTAAATAACTTTTCAAAATTATTAAAATAAAAGAAAGACACACACAAATGAAAGAAAGACACACACAAGTAGATTGATTTACATTTACATTTACATTTTTACTCCTTGCAAATGCAAATTAGTAGTAAATCTATCTGGCTTGGGTGCCCAGGAATCACGGGCTGAAATAGAGGCTCCCCATAAAAAACCAAATGCCACTGCTACTTGAGTTGGCTTTCTCTTTCCCTTTGCTAATTACTATCTCATCCAAAAGCAAAGCTTGCCAAACAAGAACCATTTTCTTAAACACAAATCTTATTACACAGCCAAAAGTAGGTGAAAAGCAACCACTATTACCTAATCTTACATTTATAGAGAGAGAAAATAAAGATGGTAACAGATGTTTGTTGCTTTTTTGTGGGTTTTTCTTCTTCATCATTATCATCAATATCATCAACAATCTCTTCAATTTGAAACGCTTCTACTCGATTAGATCTTGCCGACCTTTTCCTCGATCTGGGTCTCGACTCTCTACTCTGCGGGATGCTTATCGATACCCACTTGTCAGATGTTTGATTCTTTTACCATCAATGTTTTTTAAGAATGTCTGCTTCATTGGCGGCGTTCGAGCGTCCCCGAATTGGAGCTACAAACACGGTACTTTTCCATAATCTTTTCAATTCCCATCTTTTTCCTGTATCACTCACTCCAAATTGACAAGGGTTTTGATTTTTGGTCGCAATTTTGGGACCTAAATTTTTGTTATCGGTACCAATCCACTTCATAAAGTTCAATGTAGGCTTAATTTCTTCTAAGAAAACTTTCAAATTCATACGGATTGTGAAGTGAAATGGCATCTGTTTGAAACCGCAAGTTATGTGGGAGTAAAATGGAAAATGTAGTGTATGTATTTAAAGAAAAAGTCATTTTATAGCTGCATGTTTCCCATCTCTTCTGTGATGTAGTCAGTCTATGACGAATTGCATTAGCATTGATGGGTATATTGTAGTAGTAGTAAAGTTTCTAACTTTTTGAAGATCTGTGGAAATTATTAACAGGTTTTTAAAAGCGGGCCGTTGTTCATATCTTCAAAAGGTTAGTAAAAATTATTCCTTTCATCTGGAATTGTTATCATAAGTTCCTGGTCGTCTTTCTATTTAGTTTAAACACTGTGTAAAGCTTTGTCATTCAAAAATCTTGCTATCTTTGTAATCTGGCTATGAATTAGGTGTGCTCTGATATATAAGAAAGTATGGATTAGGGTTGAGTATGAGTTATCAATTCATTTAAGGTTGAGCCCATATGAACTTTCTTTTAACCAAAAACCATAACAATTTGATATTGATTTTCATCATATGCTGTTTTGCTGTGTTGTATCTTGAGTAACAAATGGGGTCTTGCTAGTTGTTTGAGCTGTAGAATATGATATCAAGTGAATTTTAGGTTATAGTGGCTTTTATATAGCTTAGGATTCAGGCACTCAGGTTAACTGGGAGTTTGTGGAGTTAGAAAGCATATCACTTGGACAAAAATCAATGGATAAACTCAAGTTCATTGATAGGTTGCTAAGCACAAATGTCCATTTCATCATTGAAAAACGGATTGGATCACATTAGGCCTTAGAAACACCGTTTTTTTGTTTGATTTTCAATCTACCTTTAGCAATGCCGAGGTATACAAAGGTTTTAGATAGAAGTCATTTGATGGAAAACATAGAAGTGGTAGTAGATAAGAAACATTGATTACAACCTATACCCTATAGGTCATAACATGAGATACAACAGGGGCCCATATGAATTAACTTAGGTAGTATTTCTTTTTCCCTCAATAAGTTCTGTTTGGATAAATGATATTTGTGAAAAGTGGTAGTACTAAGTGGGAAAGTTCATATACTCAATTATCTTATAATCCATGGTGAATCCATTTATCTGTTCTTTCTGGTTGATTTCCTTTTATTAAGTTTATTAAAAGAGTAGAAAACATTTGTAGAATAGAATTGTATTTGTATGCATAAAATTATCGTTGCACAAGGGTGCATGTGTCATATCCATAAAATTAAGCTAGTTTTGGGTGTTGTTTGGTATTGTATTCTGTAAAACATACAGTTCTAATAATGAGGATGAGGAGGGCATTTATGTCTTTTGCAACTTTTACTCTTTTGTCTTTTTTTGATTTTGCTCACTTGGTTCTGTTGTCTCCTTACATAACAACTCTTTTGCTTCCTCAGGGTTAGGTTGGAAATCATGGAAGAAGCGTTGGTTTATTCTCACACGCACTTCTTTAGTGTTCTTTAAAAATGATCCCGTGAGTTATCTTCTTCACTTTATTTCTTTTGTGAAATATTTATTATGCTTTTTTTTTCTCTCTCTCATTAAATATATAATTCCTTCTCCAATTGCTAAATTTGTACTTATGTAACTATGCAGAGTGCAATTCCTCAGAGAGGTGGCGAAGTCAATCTGACTTTGGGGGGTATTGACTTGAACAATTCTGGAAGGTACTGTTGTGTGTGTGTGTGTTTAATGTTGTTTTTGAGGAAGTATTAGTTTACAATGTGATTTATTGTATTTTGCAGTGTTGTTGTTAGAGAAGACAAAAAGCTGTTAACTGTTTTGTTTCCTGATGGACGTGATGGACGTGCATTTACTCTCAAGGTTTTTATTTTTTATTTTTTTCATGACAGATTAAAGATACATTTTTATATCATAGGAGTATCTTTTTAGGCAAATTACATCAAATAGCAATGGACTTCACCATTTTTACCAAAATAGGCAACACATACTTTACTTTTTAACCACAATAGCAACCAAACCAACTTATATTAGCGGTGACTTGTCACAAATGCTGATGTGGCATGTTTTAATTGACATGCATGCCTGCCATGTGGCATTTTCATTACCTTACGAATTTTAATTGATTGTTATCTGTCTCTTACTTTTTACTCTGCTTTCCCTTGTATGAGTTTTACTATTTATGAATTTTAGGGTATTTTCGTATTATTACAATGTTGAATATAATTTTTCAGGCTGAGACATCAGAGGATTTGTTTGAATGGAAGACAGCTTTGGAACATGCTCTTGCTCAAGCACCAAGTGCAGCCCTTGTAATGGGACATAATGGGATCTTTCGCAATGATACTACTGATTCAATTGAAGGACCCTTTCATCAATGTTTGTAAACCCTAATCTTTTGTTTTCACTGCATTTACCCACTTTCAGAGATTGTTTTCTTTCTATGAATTGAAAACAATACATACTCAAAAGGGCTAAATGCATGCAAGAAATGGCAGGCAATGTAATTTAACTTTTTAGGTTCAAAAGTTATTCATTTCATTTTGAATATATATATATATTTTTCTAGGGAGGGACAAACGACCAATCAAATCTTTGGTTGTTGGACGTCCAATATTGTTAGCTCTGGAAGACATAGATGGAGGCCCATCTTTTCTTGAAAAAGCTCTTAGATTTCTTGAGAAACATGGTAACTTTCTTTCTGAAATCTGAATGTAGTAAAGTCCTATCTCATGGTCTCGGTTTTTATGTGCTAACTTGAGCCTTATGATTTTATGTTAAAGGAACCAAAGTAGAAGGAATCTTGAGACAAGCTGCAGATGTTGAGGAAGTTGATAAGAGAGTTCAGGAGTATGAAACAGGTTGACAACTTGTCATTTGCACTTCAATTTCTGTATTAAGAATGAAGAATCCTAAGATTTATTCTATATTTGTTTCAGGCAAGACTGAATTTGGTTCTGATGAAGATGCTCATGTTGTTGGTGACTGTGTCAAGGTGCATACCTGATTTAAATCAAGATCAATGGCAATGGATATCTTTGCTAATGGATGATAAATTTCATTGAGAACAATATAAAACACACTTAGGTGTTTTCTTCTATATACATGAGTGTTTCTTTTAGACTTGATGCAGAAAGAACAACTTAATAGAGAAAAAGTCAGGGAAAAGAGAGTTTCCCCATTATGTCTTAACGTTTTACAAAATTGGCCTCAAATGTTTCTTCTTTTTCTCAAATACATAATATAAATATCATTTATCCAGACAACAAAAGAAACAGGGTCTAACTCTTGAATGAAGAGAACAACATGGATATCTGAATATCTGATAACTTTCAGATGATGATAAGTAGGTTTCTATATGTCCAAACACTGATAAGAAACAGTAAAACATCTTGAAAAAAGGGGAAAACAGAAGGAGATTACTTTTTTGTATCTGGGATCTTTTTCATTGCTTTGGTCAATGATTTGACTCATAACTCTTTTTTTTTTTTTTTTTTTTTTCCTGCAGCATGTTCTTCGAGAGCTACCCTCATCCCCTGTTCCTGCATCCTGCTGCACTGCTTTACTGGAAGCTCATAGTAAGTTCATCTCCCTTTTTTTTTATCCTTATTTGTAAGTTGTTGATGTGTTCATGTTTGATTCTAATGTTATATTATTAACTTTCCAAACTGGATCTAAAGTCTTCTACTACATATATGATATATATATATATATATATATATATATATATATATATATATATATATATATAATTGTATATCCATTTTCTTACCTTCTTGGCTTCTCCCCTCTTTATCCCTTTATGAATTCACCTTTGTGTGTATGTACTATATAGTATACATACATCTTTATTCTTTAATAAGGTACCAATTGTGAGATATAATTAAGTTGTAGTATTACTGATAGTGTTTTCCCTCTGTTGACCAAGGAATTGACCGGAAGGAAGCTCGAGTAAATGCCATGCGTGCAGCAATCTTGGAAACATTCCCTGAACCAAACAGACGTTTGTTACAAAGGTCACCTTTTTCTCTTTGTTTATTATCTGTTCTGTTATTTTTTACAAAACACACCCTTGGGACCAAAAAAAAAATGAAGAAGATTTTGATTTATAGTTTTTACTTGATAGTTGATAGTGATTTGCAGAATCTTGAAGATGATGCACACTGTTTCTCTGCATACTTTTGAAAACCGAATGACTCCATCAGCAGTTGCTGCTTGTATGGCACCATTACTGTTACGCCCTCTTTTAGCTGGTGAATGTGAATTGGAGGATGATGATTTTGATAATAATAATAATAATGGTGACAATTCTGCACAGCTGCTTGCTGCTGCAAATGCTGCTAATAATGCTCAAGCTATAATTACAACTCTACTTGAGGAGTATGACAATATCTTTGATGTAAGTTGCTTTTTTTACCATTTTCAGGGTTAACTGCAAGAAATAGCAGTCTACTTTCATTGAAAGAAATGAAAGCACGTTGCTGTTTTATGTATTTAGCCCTTTTTTACTGTAAGTAACTGTTAAGGTTTAACTATTGGCTAAGTTCGTTGTTGTTGTTGTTTTTTCAGGATGACACTATGCTGAAATGTTCAATGTCAGTAGATTCTCGAATGGACAATAGTGCAAGTGAAGATTCAATGGATGATGAAAACATGGAATCCAAAAGCAATGGTTACCATGATGCAGAAAATGAAGCTGATCAAGAAACCGATGAGGATCAGGATCCTGAACGTGTTCTCAGTGGAAAGTTGAGTGAAAGCAGTGGTTATGCTTGCAGTGATCTCTATGACTTTAAGGTAGTTAGTGTTTTGAAAATGATGGAATGGAATTCTTCATTCCATTGGTGATTGAGGTTTTGTTTTGTGAATATATATAGGTATATGGAGCTGATGAATCAGATGTTGTATCATCCCCAAGGAGCAATGTTAAGCCACCACCAAATTCTAATTTATTGGACTCTCAAGGTTGTAATAAGAAACATAATGAAATGGAGACACCTGGCATGTTGTCAAGAAGTGAGTCTCATCGGTCAGTTGGAACAATGCTTTCTGCTATAGATCAAGGATTATCTCAGCCTTTTGTGGGTCCCAAATCATGCAATGAGACCCCAATTAGCAAATTTTCAGGCTCTAATAGTAATAATAGTAATGCCAAGCGTTCCACATTTTGGGGAAGGAATAATAATGTAAGTCTTGTTTGGTTTAGTAAAATGCAGAAATAGCAATTTGCTTTCATTCATTTTGTTTATTATCCAAATACACTGCTATAAATTATACTCCATTGCATAGAATATATTTCAAAGTATAATGTTCTAATGAAGAAAGTTTTTGAAAGTACAATAGAAAGAAATGGACAAATAATATAGAATTCTTTGATATCTGATTGAATTTATGTTACAAGAAAGTGCTGAATTATTATTAAGTTGCAAACTGGATGTTGGAGTCTTAAGGGCCCTGATGATTGTTTTTCTTATTTTTTATTTCATAGGGAAGAAAGACTCCATCAATGGAATCGGTTGATTCTTCAGGAGAAGAAGAGTAAGACTATCAACTTTTGGTTTATTTTACATTTATATTTATATGTTGCTTTCATGCTGATATAAAGGTTCCACATTGAGAAATTTCTTAATTGTTTGAATTTGAAACATATGATGAAATCTAGTGTTAATCAATGGGTATAAAACTATAAACATTAAACAATACAACACATTTTTAAAGATGGGTTTCTTATGATATCTACTTAAGTTCAGTTTGTTATTAGTAATATTTTGAATTTGATATTATAAATGTGTCTAGACTTGCTATTCAAAGGCTTGAGCTTACGAAAAACGACTTGCGCCAAAGAATCGCAAAGGAGGTAATAATTAATATTTATATTAAATTTTATGTTTTTTTTTTTTTTCAAAATATTGGTAATATTTTTTAAAATTTGATGGATATTATTAGGCTAGAGGGAATGCAATACTTCAAGCTAGCCTTGAAAGAAGGAAACAAGCACTTCATGAACGTCGATTAGCACTTGAACAAGATGTATGCTCTCTTCTTCTTTTAATTGGGAATATTTTATTTTATCATGATGTTCCCTAAAATACCCCTCTCCATCTCCACTCCACAGGTTTCAAGGCTTCAGGAACAATTACAAGCTGAAAGGGATTTAAGGGCTGCATTAGAAGTGGGGTTAAGCATGTCTTCTGGACAGGTGTCAGGATCCCGTCCTATGGATTCAAAGGTCTCTTCTACTCTTTTATCTTCTTGCTTTTCATATCAAATAAGTTATCAAGATTTTGAAGGTCACTTTCTTTTAAATGAAGACACGAGCTGAACTTGAGGAGATTGCTCTTGCTGAAGCTGACGTGGCAAGATTGAAGCAAAAAGTTGCTGAATTACATCATCAGCTGAATCAGCAAGGCCAGCATCATTATGGCTCTCTCTTAGATAAAGATAATTCTCACCAATTCCAACATCTCCATAACCATAATCATAATCCTCCACAGTAAGTTATTCTTTTAATAATAACTGCTTTTCTTGTATAATATTGGAATGAAATGTAAATTTTTGTCTTTTTTGGCAGGAGATTTTTTCAACAAGATTTTGATACTACACTTGCTTATATCAACCATGAAAGAAAACAAAGAACGGAGGTAGCTAAGCTATCTTCTTCTCAAGGCTTGATTTTGTATTTGAATAATAGAAAGAAATGAAAGTTGTTGATTGATATCTTTTTGGATGCAGGAAAATTCATTGGGAACAGAGATGAGAAACATCAAAGGACAACAATTAACATCAGGAAACAGTAATAATAGGCAACCTTCAAGAAAGCAGTTGATAGACTCCACAAGCTTGAGTGACTCTAAAACTACAGAGGCTTCTACAAGTCTATCTGTGGATGATTTTGGAGCCGTTGATTCTGCCACCATGATTCCATCTTCATCCAGACCACCCGAGGTTTCACTTTTTACTTATGATTGATAAAAAAAAAATTGTTCAGGGACCAAATTGATAAAATGGTGAAAGTATGTCTGCTTTTTTGTAAAACTTAAAAAAATGTTTTTTTTTTTTTCATAGGTGGTTGAGTATCCCAGACACCAATCAGCCGCCTCTTCCACTTTGGTGGAATTAACAACCCGCCTTGATTTCTTCAAAGAACGGCGCTCTCAACTTATGGAACAACTTCACAACCTCGATTTAAATTACGGGACTTCCTCCCAAGATTTTATGTATAAACAATCCTCCCCTCGCTGAGCTGGCATTTCTCCATTTGTATATTCCTTGGGTTTTTTTTGTGGAGTGTAGATACTTCTGTAGTCTCATTTTGGAATTTTCGTTTTTTGTATTCTGTTTTGTTATTATTTGGTGTCCAGAAAAAAAAGTACACTACAAAAAATGATTTGTTTTGTCAGAGGTGTAGCGGGTATCGTAGTATATCTGTTTATCATAAAGTATTATTATAATTATTATTATTATTATGTGATGTAATCGGTAATTTTCTATTCGAGGATGTAATGATTGTTGAGTATTTTGTGACACAATCACTTTGTCTATTGATGTTTTATGGGATTTGTATTTAACCTCCTGTTGGTTTGGTATATGACACTTTTAACCAAATGTCGAGATTTTGGGTAGAAGATAAGCTCTCGCATAATGAAACAACATAAAGCCTTACAAAGGCCTCCAACTGTCCGTAAGAATCAGAATACTTACATATGGTTGTTAGTCTTTCTGATGAGAAGCAGGATTTTTCGATTTAGATAAATTTGATTTGGCTTTGTTTTAGTTATATTGGTAGAAAATATTAATAATAAAAGACTAATGTGAGGTAAAACATTTCAATCTGTTTTTATTTAAGACAGGGAACTTTAAGTTTTTTTTTTTTGCTATGGTTGGTGTACTGTTGTCAAAAAATCTGCGTGCATTGCTGTGGGATTGGGATCCAAAAATTAAGTTTTCCAGTTAACTTTTCAATTTCACTCAGCTTTAATAAGGCTATCCGGAGTGGGGGTAGAAGAAGAGGGGTGATACAGGCAAGTCACACGTAAACACCGCCCCAGCTGTAATAAGGCTATCCGGAGTGGGGATAGAAGAAGAGGGGTGATGCTGACATGGACAGGCAAGTCACACGTGAACACCACCCCGTGTCTGGTGGCTTGGTTGTGATGTGGTTGCGAAGACGGGCCAAGACGACCAATGACATTCGAGTTTCATTTTTTGACCGTTGTTGTAGCCGTTTGAAGGGAACGAACGAAGAAGTGGGAAGCACCTCCGGTGGTGGCTGAGAAATTACGAGGAAGGGAGAGAGACATGGGATCTCCGTTTCTTGTCTGATCGGAGAAGAAGACGAACGGGAACATCGATGGGGACATCGACTGTGGTTGATCGACAAGCACATCATGAAAGAGGAAGAAACAAGACAAATCGGCGACGGTTTGGGGGGGGGGGGTTGTTTGCTACTTTGAAGCCGAAGAGAAGCACAGGGAAATGTGAGAGGTTGATGCCCTCTTGACAGAAAACGAAGAAGGGAGAAGAGTGTTTTTTTATTTAATTTAAATATATATATAAAAAAAAAGAATAATGTGAAATAGTAACCATTTACAATGTCTAGTGAGTTGGTGGTGGAGCTAACATGGCGCTGAGTTGGCAGCGCTTTTCCGGTGGCTTGGCTGTGACCACTCCCCACAACCTAAGATAAATTCTCAATGTTAATCGTATATTTATTATTAGGTTATATTGTGTTGTATTTGTTTTATTAGGCTACCCATCAAATCATAACGGTTTTTGTTGTCTTGATCTCCACACCAAACAAATAATCATTTCCGGTCATGTCGTTTTCGATGAAACCATCTTCCCATTTGGGTCTATGACTCCAAATCACTCTCCCGACTATGTGTTTCTTGACATTGATGCTCCCCGAAATTACTTTAATGACCCGAATCACCCTTCCACTCCTCTCGGGTCATCCACCACCATCCCACCGTCTCACAATGGCTCTGTCGCTGCTCCAGAATCCTCGACAACCGACGCTTCTTCCTTAACCCCATCCATCGATCACACTAGTTCTATCGGCCAACCGACTCCTCCCTCTCAACCTCCTACCTTTACTCCTTCCGTCTCCACTCACACTCATTCCATGGAAACCCGAGCTCGACATGACATCCACAAACCTATTGACCGTCTCAACCTTCATTTTGACACCAACATCACTTCATCTCTTCCTCGCATGTATTCTCAAGCCTTTCTCGATCCTAACGGGTTAAATGCTATGAAAGATGAATATAATGCACTTATTTCTAATGGAATTTGGGTACTTGTTCCACGGCCTACTAATGCTAATGTGATTAATTGTATTTGGTTGTTCAAAAAGAAACTTAATGCAGATGGATCTCTTGCTCGCTATAAGGCCCGATTAGTTGCAAACAGACGAAGTCAGCGACCTGGCATTGACTGTGATGAGACCTTTAGTCCAGTTGTCAAACCGGCAACTATTCGAGCTGTTCTTAGTATTGCTATTTCTCACCACTGGCCAGTTCATCAGTTGGATGTGAAGAATGCTTTTCTTAATGGTCATATTCAAGAGGCAGTCTACATGCACCAGCCACCCGATTTTTGAGACAACACGACACCCGACCATGTTTTCCTTTTCAAGAAGTCTTTATACGGCCTCAAACAGGCACCTCGGGCTTGGTATCACCGATTTGATCAGTTCATTACTACCTTTGGCTTCACTAACAACAAATCAGATACAACACTTTTCATCTATAGACAGGATGACCATATAGCATACTTACTTCTATATGTTGATGATATTGTGTTGATTGCTTCCTCTCTAGGTCTTCTTCAACAAGTTATTTCCACATTACAGTCTGAATTCTCCATGACCGACTTGGGCCCTTTGAACTACTTTCTCGGAATTGCAGTCTCTAGAGATAGTCATGGCATGTTTCTCTCTCAATAGAAGTATGCGGCCGGAATTCTTGACCGTGCAAAGATGTCTAACTGTAAGCCGGCCCACACTCCTACTGATACGTCCACAAAATTAGACGGATTAGGATCACCTGTTTCTGATCCGACTCTGTATCGCAGTCTAGCTGGTGCCCTTTAATATTTGACATTTACCCGACCTACATTACATATGCTGTCCAACAAGTCTGCCTCTTCATGCATGACCCCAGAGAGCCTCACTTTGTTGTTCTCAAGCGAGTTCTTCGATACATTCGCGACACTCTTGATCACGGTCTTCAACTATATGCATCCCCTTCTCGAGGGTTGATCGCCTATTCTGTTGCTGACTGGGATAACTACCCTTCCACTCGCCGCTCCACTTTTGGGTATTGTGTTTTTCTTGGCTCCAACCTTCTCTCCTGGTCTTCCAAACGACAGGGTACAATTTCCAGATCCAGTGTCGAAGCTGAGTATCATGGCGTGGCTAATGCTGTTGCTGAGACTAGTTGGCTCCGCAATTTCTTGTGTGAGCTCCTTTAACTGCCTCTCACTTCCACCCTTGTTTATTGAGACAATGTTAGTGCCGTCTACTTGTCCAACAACCCTGTTCAGCATCAACGTACCAAACACATTGAGATTGACATACACTTTGTTCGCGACAAAGTGGCTCTGGGACAGATGTGGGTACTTCATGTTCCCTCTTCCTCTCAGTATGTAACTATCTTCACCAAAGGGCTTCCATCACCTCTGTTTCTTGACTTCAGAACCAGTCTGAACGTTCGTTCCAGACACCCCGTTCAGACCACAGGGGGCTGTTAACCGTATATTTAATATTAGGTTATATTGTGTTGTATTTGTTTTATTAGTTTAGCCCATTTCAGTTATATCCCAATATATTGTACCATTGTTATGTTATATATTGAATGAAAAGGCTGATGCCACGTTTTGAGGGAAAATATTGGTTTGTAACACTCAAAATACAATGTGCTAGTAAGAAAAATATTATAAGTACAATGCTAAAATTGGGTAGACCCTCTTCAAAGTATAATGCCTTGATAAGAAAAAGAAATTGAATGTATAATATTGTTATAGAAATAAATGAAAGTAGAATGCCATACTACACATATAAATGGAAGTACATCGCCATTTCCTACATTTAACCTGGAGAGGAAGAGAAAGATTAGGTTGATTATAAATTGACAAATAGCTCCCATGACAATACTAAAGTTCTGCAAGATTTCGAGATACGACACCTACCTGTGTACCTAAACCCTGTAACCATAAGATTATAATCAAAACAAAATATAAAATATTATAAAAACACGGAGAAGAAGAACATGGCAATAAGCATTACAATAGGCTTAAAGACTTGCTGAGTCGATATTAGCTCTAGCTTGACATATAGTAAAGCTACCCAAATCGTTTATCAACTTTTTTTTTAATTTATTTTTTATTTTATTTTATTTTATTTTATTTACGCAGTCCAATGACATTAATCTCAACAGAAAGATAAATTTCTTCCAACTTCTCTATAAGCTTCTTGTAATAAGTTATTTTTAAAAAATATAGTTCCTCTTGAAAAACATCTTAAAGACTTATTTATTAAATTACGTAAGACATTTTATTTAAGTAAAAACATATTATTAAATAATGGGTTAGGTTACTAAAACTAGTTGGCGTAACATCTTACTTTTAGGGTTAGAAAATTTCATCTTAACTAATTAAATAAAAATAAATAAATAATAACAATCAAAATAATAAAATGAAATCATATTATTAGCAAATATACAAATTCGAAGTAAAAAATGTTAGAATTATTACATTTAGTAATTGAAGGCTAAAATTGAAAAGTTGGAGAAGGTTGGGTCTGACCAAGAGTTACTCACTTAAGTGAGACTGGGACTAATAAAGTCATAGAAATGGTGGGGAAGGACTAAATACGAAAATACTAAATGTCTAGTTGCAAGACTTAGGAGATGGTGCCATTTTGTAAGAATCGAAAGACCTGTCGCCAAAATGAGATAAGAGAAACTTGAAATAGGACCCAAGGCCACCATTCTCTCTCGCTCTCTCTCTCTCACACACACACATTTCTTCTCACCAACAGTTTGAGGGCTCTAAAAGAGAGAACTTGGTGATTTCGTGATGATTTCAACTATAGATTCAAGGAGTTCGGGGTTATATTAAAGTTAGATTTGAAGTCTTCATGTGTTGCAAGGTAAAATTCTCCATACAACTCTTTATGTTCGAGTTAGGGTATAATCTGATTTTTTTTTGGATAATTGTAGCCAAGGTTTGTTTTCTAATCAATTATATGGTGTCTTACATGGTTCTATGCTTAACCCATCATTCTTATTAATGAATTTAAGTTTGGGTAAGAACCAACCAATAATCATAGTTATGGATTCTTGAGTAATGGAGTTGATAAGCACGTAATTGTTTGGTTTCTATGTTCATATTGTGATTTTGATGCATTAATCAAAATTTGAATGCTCAAAGTTATGAAGTGTGAAGATATAAGGTTTCATATATGGGAATTGGTCTTTCCAAGACTTTTGTTGTTTAACCAGAGTACAAACTGTGACATCCCCATTTTCACGGCCAGAAAAGACCGATTT